CAGATGGTTTGGTCCTCAAAGGTACAGGATTGAGTGAAGTACAGCCAAACCACTCTTACTTCTACGTTGGGCTTGATCCCCCATTGAACGTTAAAGTAGATTGATTTTGGAAGATTAGGGAGCAGCCTAGAAAATGTGCTTGAGTAATTTCTATGAAACCACCTTGGGAGTTTATGTGAGTTCATTCAAACATGCTCGGCCAGTTGACAACATTATCGCTGTGAAAGCAAAAACACAGTGTGGATCTTAACGTGTGTATATTTTGGTACATGTATTCCACAGGCTCAGTTTGGCACACTGTCAGACTATTTCAACACCCTTATTGACCACACCAAGGGACCGACTGGTACCCAGCCTCAGGGCTTCCCTGTACTGAGTGGTGACTTCTTCACGTACACCGACAGGAATCAGGACTACTGGTCCGGGTACTACACTTCCAGACCGTTCTATAAGAACATGGATAGATTACTAACTTCACATTTAAGGTGAGGCTGCCTCAATTTTAGATATCAACACATTTTTAGCACCGGCCTGATTGACATGTATGTCACCAATGTGTTTGGGGAGGGGATCACACTTACGATGTAGGTGCTACTGTAACACTACCCAATTTCACTGGGAGCTAAGCAGAAAAAATTACTTGTGTGCTAAGCAAGAATGAGCAGACTGCCTGTATGCAGTGTGTGACATTTTGGCTGGTTACCCAGTAAATCTGTGATAATTAAACATTAAACCATTTCAATGCTTCCAACATTGATATCCATTTAGACATTTGAGCGTTTAAACAGAACCAAATTTTTAAAAATACCCCTCTACATTATCCTTAAATGCATCAGCGTTTTATCCCTTTGTGTTTTAACCACTTCCTGCCGGGGCAGTTATCAACGTTGGTGATGCTGGGCCGGGATATTTTTTTTTTTTTTTCTGTTTTCAAAATTCTTTAAACATTCCTATCTTCACTTACTGGACCCTTACAAACACGTGAAGGACTGTCTGGTGTTCACTCTAGCCTGACAGACAAAATCTATTGATGCCCGAGTATTTCAGCCAGGCCTGCTGCCTTGTAAAAAGAGTCCAGATTGTTCGGTGTTATATAACTTTCTTTTGTTCACGAACCTGGCTTGTGTGCTGCTGGCCTCTTTTCAATAGGGGCCAGATTAGCATGCAGCAGTGCTGTGTGGCTCACCGCTGCGGTGGTGGAGCGCTTTTGTCCCCGGTGGTAATCCGCTCGCTCGAAATACCCAGAACCGTGGTACACTGTTTTAAAACAAGGCTGGATTATCTCCACTTTTGAGAGTGAAAAAATGTCGGTAATTCCCAGCAGCCTGGTCTTTTGTTCCGAGTACGGTCTTTTGTTACAAGGCCCTGTTCCCTATGTCCGAGTTCGGAGACCTCGGCCACGCATATAAAGCGTACGTGTACGGATCCGGAATCCCCGGCAGGGGAGTGGATAAAGATGCAGTCATATGGCAAATTGAGCAATTTGCCTCCTCAAGATATACTGAATTCCATAGTTTGTCATTGTTGTAATACTTCTTCCAAATCCAAATTCAGTGAGGGAAGATGAGGAGCAGCCGGCAGATTAAGATAGTTAAAGTGGCCCCTCAGTCACTATTCAAATACCAGTTTAACCACTTCTTTCTAGGGGCATTAATGAATATCGATGATGCTGGGACGGGATAATTTTTATTTTTTTTCCCGTTATCAAAATTCTTTAAAAATTCATATCTTCATTCACTGGACACTTACACCCACATGAAGGGCTGTCTGGTTTCTACTCTAATCTGACAGACAACATATATTGACGCTGGAGTATTTCAGCCAGGCCTGCTGCCTTGTAAAAAGAGCCCAGATTGTGTGGTGTTACATAATTTTCTTTTGTTCATGAACCTGGCACAGTGCGCTGCTGACCTCTTTTCAGTAAGGGCCTGATTACCGTGCAGCAGTACTGTGTGGCTCATCGCTGGGGCGGTGGAGCACTTTTGTCCGCGGTGGTAATCCACTCATGCTAAATCCGCAAAACTGTTGTACATGTATACTATTTCAAAATAAGGCTGGATTATCTCCACTATTGAGAGCGAAAGATTTTTTGGTAATACCCAGCAGCCTGGTCTTTTGTTACGAGTACGGTCTTTTGTTACAAGGCTCGGTTCCCTTTGTCTGATTTCGGAGACCCCGGCCATGCGTATACATGAAGAATACGGCAACCCCAGCGGCAAGTGGTTAATAATGGGATTAGGTGTGTAGTGGGCATATTACAATGAGCACAAACACCTTGTATTTTGCCGCTTGTTGAAAAATCGTTGAATGTTTAAATGGCAGCATAAGTATTGTTTAAACTTTTTGTAAATTAAATGGAAATTCACAGCCCTAATAACCAGCTGTTGCTGGCCCCCGGTGTCAGAGAAGGGAAATTCCTGACAGAGTGGGGCCTCCTTTCCTAAGATGCTTTATCCAAAAGCCACCTTTGGAATGTTTTAAATATATCTTAATCATTTTTTATTACTGTGGGAGAAGCATAAGATCATAAATCTGTCTTTTTTTTTCCACTTGTGATATTTTTCTCTCCGCAAGTATTGACTTCTGTATTCCATTCCATTCAGAGGAGCTGAAATACTATACACAGTGGCCGCTACGAAGGCTCGGCAAGTTGGAATGGGCAAGAAATTTGACGAGGACACCATGATCAAGATGCTGACTACCGGGAGGAGAAACTTGGGCTTGTTTCAACACCATGATGCTATCACAGGAACATCCAAGGACCATGTGGTGGTGGATTATGGAACAAAGTCAGTTCTTTTGCCTTGATCATATGACAGTTTGATTCTTAGAATTTAATACCATTTTTCTAAAGGATTTATAGATATGAAGACTAAAAATGTTTTTATGAAACTGCATTGTTTGTAGATCTTTAACTGTTAAAAGTTTTATCTACCTATGCTGTTAAAACTTTTTATTTAACTCCCAAAATAATGAAAGTAAAACCAATAGCCTAAAAATACTGGGGAAAAGTGCTTTTTTTTTTTTAAATATTGGTTTTTCTGATAAAGTTTGCTTCTTCAGAAGTAATTCTGACATGAAATTTGTTCACCACCTCCCAAAAAAGAAAAAAAAGTATTCAAATCTTTGTGCTCAAAAATATTGCATCTACACTGTATTAGCCTTCAAAGTACAGGATTAAAAAAGTGCCCAATAATCACCCATCTTATTTTTCAGTACTTTTGAAAATTTCATTGATGAACTTGTATTTCCAGATTGCTGACGTCCATTAACGACATGCGTAAAGTCATGATGAAATCCATCCATTTCTTGCTGTCACCAGACCAGACGAAGTATGCACCATACACCGCATTCTTCGATGTGGTAAGTTGGCGGCCGATGTGTTGAAACTGAGACAGATCTTTGAACCATTTGCGTTAGCGAGAATATGAATATTCATGAACTATGGGTATTTATTCCAATGTCATTGCATGCAATTACACATCCAGTGTAAATGTGATTTGTTTTGTAAATGCCGCTTATTGTTGGAACAATTTGTAGTTTTTCAGTGGGTAGTGCTGCACATTCTTGTATTTCCCTTCCAGGATGAAGAAAGTTCCCACCACGACCTTTTACCTGAAAAGAAAGTCTTAAAACTCTCCACAGAGGCATCAAGGTAAAACTTTGATCAGTTCTTGTCTCATCTTATTCTCCGAACAGGAGCCTCATGGAAATATGTGTAGATCTTTGGCTAGATTACCCACACATGAGTGGAAAAAAAACAATGTTTTCATCTGCGTCGTTCTTTATAGAAGAGGCTTTCTCATGCAAGTTGCCTTTGTTGTGCACAGCATTGCCGTGTTTTACAACACACTCGCCCAGCAGAGGAACGAGCTTGTGCGACTCTACGTATCGTCGCCAAACGTCCAGGTTACAGACGGAGAGAACAAAGTTATCCCCAGTCAGTCTAATTTGGTGTGGACAGACAACATGCAGACAGCAAGCACAAAATATGAGGTGGGATGTCTGACTCCGCCTAGTTTATATTGCAGTCCAATTCTTAGCGATTGGTTTTTTTTTCAACTTAACAGGCCTCTTAAATGGGCACCAGAAATGATATCAATTTGAGCCTAAGTTTCAGCAGCAGTATTTTCAAAGGGAAAAGCATTTTTTGGCTATGGATCAAACTATCATGCCCACAGTGTTTGTGCTAACCTGATACACAAACTGATTTTGCCAAATCTATAGTAAATCTCACTGCTCTTGGGCATTTGTGTTTAACGTAGGACTTTAAGAGAGGCAAGCTGCATGTTTTAATTATTCGTAAATTTTGTTTCTTCAGCTGGTGTTTCCCGTTGATATCGCTCCACTAGGAATCAAGAAATATCTCATCAAGGACATGGGATCGTCAGAGTCAGAGCGGCATGGTTTGTCCACAGTGGCTATGTACCATGTGCCTGGTAGTGGGACAGAGAAGAGGTGAGTGCATTGGGCCGCGGCTATGACTACCCTGACCATTTCTTGATACTCAAAGCTCATTGTTTCTGCCAGATATAGTAATGCATTTGGTTGTTGGGGTCGAGAGGAGCAATGGACGACAGATTGCCCATGAAGAATTTACCTCAAAGAGGCCAATTTTCAACTTCGTTTTTCAATATTTTAGTATCACATGAGCTAGCACTTCCAAGCACTCACATGTAGGCGGAAGCTTCGTAAGCAAATTTAATTGCTCACGCTCACCAACTGCCAACCTGCATTCTTCCAAACTGTGCCAAAACTGGCAGGGAAGCATTCTGTTGTCAGTAATTTCTTTTGCAAATTTAACTGGCGAAGAATGGCCTTTGATGTTGTAGCACTCAAATCTCCTAAACAATACAGAAAAAGGTAACCAAACCATACGAGACTGGTCTGTCTTTGTCTGCAAACGTTGACTTCCATTTTGCATGGGCCTCCAAAGTTCGCCGAGGTTTAATAACACCGTGTGAGTTAGCCTTTGCACTCGCAGCCAGTGATAGATTACCAACCACTGGTTGACGAATACTAAGTCTGTGACATGGCCAAAGAGTTGCTGCTGCCTGAACCTAAGTAATTTAGAAGTTGTCGCGGAAAGAGCATTTTTATGTGCAGTCGGGCATGGTCAAGAAACGTGTTATTGTTAAATTCACCTGTTTTTTTTCCAGGGGACCGTTTATTGTTGAGAAATTTTCAGGCTATTCGTCGGGAGACATCAGCATAGAAAACTCCAACCTCAAGGCGGTGTTTAAAGGATCCACCGGAATGCTCAAGGTACGGTTGTGGATTGGAGTGAGAGGTCAGTGGAGGGATGCTGCTGATGTGCCTGCCGCATTATGGCAA